GGCTGATTATTTAAAAGCATTGTCCCATCATCAAGCCATGCTGTCTTCTGGCAGGTGCCCATCTGGGGGATTCTTAGGGCGATTATATAACCAAGCCTCTCTGAACAACATTGTGGATAAGTGGATTACCCCAGCAGGGCCCCTTCTCCAACAGCAGTATGGGCTTAACTGGTCAGCTTCTGGTCTCCAGATCTGACATTAGCTTAAGTTCACTCATGTCATTTTCTTAGTATGTTCTCTGTCTGTCCTTTTTCCAGGTCTTTGTGGTACAGAGGATGTTTGTGGTCCAGGTCCAGCCAGGGCTTGGTGGCATCTGTGGAAGTAGCTCAACATCTTCTCTGATCAGTATTTTTCATGTATGTTTGCACTTTATTTACCTTATGTTTATGATAATGAAATACACCAATAGTTTCTCACCACACAGTGCATTCGCCATCTGATGCATGTTTGTCCATCCTGAGAGACAAATGCCTCGTCATATGGTCTTCCCCATTAAAGATTTTGGGGGGAAATCTTCCTTATCTAAATCAAAAGGTCTAAGACTATTCATATGCTGTACAGATTTTAAAGCTCTTTAAAGCAACGTTATGTAAGATTTGGCGCCCCTACTTTCAGGGTGTAATTCACCGCTGCTATGAGGACAGCTGTACATGCACATTTGTTATGATTACATTACTTTTTAATGATCAAAAACAAGAAAGTCGACAACATTGCTAATACAGCCAGACATCAAGCAAGTGCAACAGCACAAGAAAATGGAATATTACTTACGATTGTCTTGCAGCTTTTAGTTCATGAATCTCTCGCCAACGTCTTGGTTACTCTTTATTTCTCTTCTAAGCTTTGTCCGTCAAAGTCTTCTTCGGTCTCTATGCATCTGCCATGAGCTAACGTTACGTCCATCGAGGCTGCTGATCCCACTTCTTCCAAAAAACTTACATTGTACATTATATACTTTGTGCTTCTTCATACAGCTTGCTTGCTGAAGAGTCATGTTGGTGCCATAAAACATTACGCTGTTCTCATGGTAATGGTCCTGCCCAGGATTTAAATGTCAAATAGCACAGTATCTAGCATGGGTAGCCTGGGGTGGTAATGTCAGAGACGCCATTCACCCTATAATAAGTCAGTGTATCGTTGTTTTACTTTATACAAATACACAACTACATTTCAGAGGGAAATGTACTCATAGATGCTACTAGTTACTTTGCATATTAAGATGTTATGGTAAGATGTACTTATCCCCTCTAAACTTCTCAGATGAGTTTGAATAACTGAGGTGATACTTACTTAGGCACAGTAGTGCTTGAAGCCTAACGCTAACATCAGCATGCTAACATGCTCACAATAACAAAAACACATAGATTAATGCATACCATGTTCACTATCTTAGCTTAACATGTTTGGATGCTTTATTTGCTAATTAGCACAAAATAAAAAGTACAGATGGGGCTGATGGGACTGTCATTAGTTTTGCAGGTATTTTGTCATAAACCAAAGTATTGTACAGACTTAAATGTTGGCCTGATGAAGACACTAGAGGAAAAGATTAAAAATCACTAAATTGTTATAGTTCATTCTCTGGAGAACATGAATGTCTGTACCAAATGTCATGGCAATCCATCCAATACTTGTTGGATGCCATGCTGCTAGAATGGCTAAAAACAGCAAATATTAGATTATTTAAAATAAAAAATAATACAAATTTGTGTTGCAGCAATTTGTTTTTCTTTTTGATGCACAATTAATCATCTCAATACCCTGCAGATTTATCTTTTACCCCTTTGGAGGGCCCTGACCCCTATGTTGAAAACCACTTGCAAAACTACCTAACTGTATATGATGCGCTTAAAATCACCTCCAGCTCAACCAGCTACAACAGTAAAATGCTGCTTATACACTGTTACATCAGTATTACAGTCTAATATAATATAATAAAACATAATACTATCTAATAATAGTACTAAGTAGGATTTTATATGCAGGACTTTTACTTGTAATGAAGTATTTTTACTATTTTTGGTACTATTACTTAACTAAAGGATCTGAGCATTCTTCTACCACTTGTGATTTATGAATTTAATCTATATAAATAAAATGTACTTTACTTGAACAGACATGCTTTTTCACAGGTTTACCCCCCCTTTTATACACACGGACACACACCTGGTTCCCATACCCGTCAGTGCGGGCCCAACACACACAGGATCCTGGGAGTCAGCACCACAACCTACTGCTGATGTCAGGAACTATTATACACACTTTCGTATAACCACGCAGACACACACACACACAAACAAAACAGCATGCACTCTATCTCATCATATCATTTTATCGCCACAGGTGGCAAATTTAGCCCTGTGGCTCACTGTCAGCATGTCTACAATAAACAAATCCACACAGACATACACAGAGACTAAAAGTGCTACCCTGTCATGTTAGTAAAAAAAAAACAAAGTCTACGGCTTTACGTATTCACATTCTGGGCTTGTATCCGTATACCCATCCATCTAGCAACCCCTCTAACATGGCCTCATACATTCTGTCAGCAACTCCACAGGTGAGCCAGTCTCGGCTCATGACGCTGTCTCACACTATGGAGAGCTAACACCAATTCTCGTCTATCGTTCTCAGATTACTTCACCCCCTTCCCTTCTGCTTTCTAATCCTTCACACTGTGTTGCCATCCTCTCCTTCTGTCTACGACTCCCTCCTGTCCCTCCTCATCTAATCACACAGATGCACCCAGGGATACTGCTGGGACTTCCTTGCTTACGGACAAAATGTGACACCAGGCCTGTTGCCCCCCCCCCGCTTCACCCTAAACCACCCTTCTCCAGGCTTTGGGGTCCCCTTCCGGTCATCCCTCAGCTCAGTTTGCCCCCTCTACACAGTCCACTGATTCCTGGCCACGCCAAGGTACACCAGTCAAAATGTAATTTTCTGCAAGATTACACATGATAATGACTGGCTTTGGAGGGTCGCCATAAATGATGACTTCCAATTATAGATGCATAACTATCGATCTGTCAACAGAAGCAGTGGGAACGGAGAGGGGAAAGAGGAGAGGAGGGATAGAGCTGTAAAGATTGTGCCATAATGTTATGTTTACTGACATCTTTCTTGATGCCACACGTACAGACACAGTGGGCTTTGCTACAGACACAGACTGGGTAGCTGAACAATTGCTGAACTGCTCATAAAGTCCTACATGGGCTGAAAACCAAGTATTGATGGGAGCCAATGAAAAAGCCAGAGACTGAGTTCACCTGGGAGCAGAGTAGACCTTCACCTGATCACACACGCGCATATCATACACACCTCTGTTTCCAGTCAAACACCACACTGAACTGTTTCTAAGCAGACATGGAACAAAAGCACATTTGATGCAATTAAAAGAAGCCAGCGCCTACTTCTTCCCCATTCGCTCGTCTTACTGCTTGTGCTCAGTACTCACTGTCAGGTTCATCCACTGGCTGGATGGCTGGTCCTCCGCTCTACAGCTGCAGTCAGTCAGTCAGTCTCAAGGACAAACGCTCCAGCTCCCCTCGCCTCCGGTCTCCGTAGCTCAGCGATGCAGCAGCGCGCACGCACGCACACACACACACAGACACACACACTCCCCTCTCCCTCTTTCTCTCTCTTCTCACTCTGATCCAGTGCTGAGTTTACCTACCTACCTGCCTAGCTTGCTCGTAGGGGAGTCCTGAGAGTGTGTCTCAGACAGAAAGTGTGTCTAAGAGATGGGGTGGTACAGGGGAGCAGACTGTGTGTGTGTGTGTGTTGGGGGGAGTGGAGGACACAGCCAGCGTTCCCTTATATGCAGAGGGAGGTGGTGAGTAAAGAGGGAGGGTAGAGGACACACAGCGCTCCTGTATTCCCATAGATACAGAGGAGGGATTTCTATTGCAGCCTTGCAAAGATGGGAGAGAAAAGAGGGAGGGAGACAGAGGGAGCATCATATTTCAGTGATGTTGAGTCAGCATGATGTGAATGTGATGCATGTGTTGATAGAGTTGGAAATATTTAGAGGGCATGTTCTTCTGGGAAGTAATGGATTAAAGCTGTCTTCGAAAGGGAGCTGTGAGTGTGTTTGTGCATGTGTCTAAGAAACATCAAGACTAGAAAGTTCTCCTGGTTTGTATTTAATCAGTGGAGGTCATGATGAGACGCTCGAACGTTGGCATACAGCCATGAGTCGGCTTCACTCACACTGGACTTGACATATCTTCCTACGGGTTAAATTTTACTGCTGTCATTCAGTTTGATAAGTGACAATGAGTGTGAACAACTACTTTAATGCGGTAACAAAGCGTTTCTGTTCTTTTCAGATATTCTGCAGGCATGATGTAAAAATTTTGCCCACCCAAATTATTGGCATAGCTAATATAATTAGCTAATTTGATTTTACAGGGATATCAGCATTGGCTTAATAAGGACCAAGACATTGCAGTACAGAAATGCCAAATATATATATCCGTTTAAGGCTATTTAGAATGTCCCCATTTCATAGTTTGTCCATCACAGAACAATGTCAAGTGACATGTACCGTTCAGCACATTTCCTGGTCACTATTACTTAAAAAAAAATTTTTTTAAAGAAGCTGTTAAACTTTTTGGAAAATATGCTTGTTCGCTTTCTTCCAAAGGGTTTGCAAACAGTGTGTGCATCCAATATGAAGCTGGAGCCAGCAGACGGTTAGCTTAGCTTAACATAAAATCTGTAAACAGCTAGCTTCGCTTTGTCGAAAGCTCAAACACATCATCCAATTCTGAGATAGAGTTTTTACATCATATCATCATATAGGGTGCTTATGAAAAATGCGTGCATATTGAAAAAGAAATATAAGTAGTTATCAGATGTTTTTAAAGTCTCAAATTGTAATATTAATATTGGCTTCAAACATCAATTAGGCTACAATCAAAATGAAATGAGCCTTTGGTTTAAACCACCTGATGAACTAGAGGGATTGGCCTCATAGGACAATAACTACCACATAGTTTAGACAGTCTCTGAGTTTAATGTCATCTCACACTAACAGGCCTAGTGGGGTTGAAGTATGAGTACACGAAAAAAATTATGTTACAGTACAAATTCCTGCACATTTTTAAAAAATTTTTTTTTCCTCTCGATTTTAATCTCTCTACCTGAACAGTTTTCCATGACAATCTATGGTTGCAGATGAACTTTATTACCCAGTAGCCTAAATAAACACAAGAAGCAGAATCACAATTAAGTGTATGACAATGCATCTAAAACTAATTTAAATATTTAATTAAACTTCCTCTAATGTAATTTTTTTTGTAGTTATAGGCCCTGTAGTCACAGGTTTTTTCACTTCTGTCTGATTAGACAAGAAGCACAGTCTACACACAACAAATGGTATGTAGGATCTTCGTGCGTGTCCTGACAGCAATATTTCTTCATTTTAGTTCCAATTCTTTACAACCTGTATGGAGACAGTGTAATGCTCGTAACCTGACAATCATAGCCATTTTGTCTAATACGGTATGTCACATCACTGAGCATGGCTATGGTAGGTTAAATACTGCAGACTGTGGTCCAACCATTTGTTAGGATAAAATACAAAAATAAACTGGGTAAAATAGGACAGTCAATCACGTTGTTGGCAAGACTTAACCTCACGTGTCCAAATGAGTTTTCCAAGTAAACATCAGCAGAACCTGCAGCAGCCGCGGCTGCACATGCATACATAGTGGTGGTAAATAAAGATTAAAATGTGTTTTTGATTTTTATCTTTTTTTGTTTTTGGTTAGATAAAAACATTCCCATGACACAACTTCTTCCATGAAATGAACAATAAAAGGGATGGGGAAAAACACATCCATACAGTGTACCCTAACTTCACCGCATTAAAAAGGAACCTAAAATGACTTAAAGGTATGGCCTAATAATATCGTCTTTGATTCAAAAATTCTTGTGCAATATCGGACAAAACCATTTATCATTTTTTCACTAACCAACACCGCTGACTGAAATAACGAAAACACCGTCATCATTTGTGCCGTCAGTATATGGTCAACATCATCCTAGATTGTTTGCCTATAATAATGGCATCGGAGGTAACAGGGCTGAGGCAGCATGCCGGCTTAACACACTAACAATGAGGCATCTATGTCATTTATTTTCTCCAACATGGGAGTTTCTTGAGAGGACATCATTCACTTTCAGGTGGTATTCTGTCCATTTGTGGGAACAGTCTTCTTTGAATATCCCTGGCTTCCTTGAGGTTTCCCCAATATGGGGATCACAGACTCTGTTGCCAAGACAAGCATCACTCCTTTCCCTTCTTATGACTGACGGGATTATTCTGGACATTTTGTTTTTCTTCATCACCCATTTCATCTCCCTCACTCTATGTAGGGCTTTGGACATCATGTCCCAGCCTGGCCCAGGTTCGAGATCCAGAAACCAGTTGTTCAGTTGAAACCTAGACCTGTGCCTTTGGGTCTCTGTGTGGCCCGGATGGGTTCGGTCATGCCTCTGCCCTCTGGTCCCAGGCCCATCCCCGGGCTCCAGCCCATGCTTTGCATCATGCGGCTGCCCATGTTTGTTTCAGGGATGGGAGGTGCGTTCTCCCCGACCACTCCTGAACAGAGAGGTCACAGGTTAGAAAAGAAGGAGATTTCAACAGTGTGTGTGAAAATATCTATAACATATACGAAGACACATAAGAACAACACAAGTCAAAAATAGGTTTATCCCAACAAATAACTGTTTATTTGAGAGCTTAGCATGTGGAGACGGGAGTGGTAAGTAATTTAATCACATTTAGAAATGCGGCAACAAAAAGGTGTCTAATATTGGGTTGAATGCTAAATAGCAGCAATTGTCACCTATAAAGGAGATCAGAAATGCAGCTCTTTGATCCGTAAGCTTTGAAAGCAACAAAACAATTAGCAGAGACTCAAAAAGGCTAACTGCAGGTTCATTAGTCCACCCTTATGTCCAAGCCATGTCACAAAAAGATTATTATATAACTTTTTTTAAATAGCAAAATTAGGTTTTTATTTCAGTAACAACTTTCCCCTGCTAGAAACGTGTTCAAGCTTCCTTTTTATCTGAGATAGACTATGGGGCTGTGTTGTACATGCATGCAGCATCATCTCTGCGGTGGTGTTGTGCTTTAACACAAATGCCAGATCTTCCACCCATCATTGTGGTTTATACAAATCGGTGGAATGGCTTTCTCTCGCCACGGGTAAGAGCTACATTTGTGCATTTTTATCTACATCTTTGAAGTTAGGAAAAACATTTGATATTGCGCACCCTCAACATGGAACTCACTGACAAAGTATTTTCCAGTTAGAGGTGCTAGTACCAGGGCTTGAGACTAACGCCGTCCCGTCGTCGAATAAAAATAAAGGAAAAAAAAAAGCGATTATATGTGTGTTTATTTATTACTATCACTTCGCAGATGACAAACTCGCCCAACTAAGTGCTGACTACAATGGAGCGTGTCTTCTCATGCTGTTACTATAGTTAGGCTACTATGACGAGCTGGCTGCTCAACTGTTCCCACCGTACGGGTCCATCTATACACTCAATCACAAACAGCTTGCTGACCTCTCAATCGCACTGTGCAATGCCTATGCATTGAGCGCCACGCATCAATCCTTTCACGCAGTGAAAAATGAATGTATATTCTGATAACATCGACTAGCAGCGAAAATCATCTCCACCCAGCTGATGAGTTTAGCATTATAAACATCTAAAAACTGAAGCACAATCTGGGCAACATTTAATTGGAGTTGCTGAAGTTAACGTGTGTGGATTTATGATGAGATTTATGCCACAAGTTTTCGTTTCGGTTCTACCACTGATGAAGAGCAGCGCACTCATCTCATCTAGTAACCTACAGTCTTAAATGATCTGTGTCGGTCACGGTCTGAAGGGGATCCTCCTAACAGCAAGCAATACGTAATGCATAGCAGAGTGGGTTATAGGGAACTAAAAAATATTATGAATTCTAATTTAATGATGTTTCGTAACGTTTTTAACGCTATTTCTTTGAATGGAGCAAAATAAATATTATTAACAACTAAAAATGAAAATCACAAAGTAAGGAAACAACATTTAATTTTGGGACACTTTACATCAACTTTGGGACGGCTCAAATTGTTTTATGGGATGGTTCCAAAACGAAGGTGAAAAAAGTTAGTCTGGAGCCCTGGCTGGTACCTGGTTGCAGATGTATAGGTATCTTGGAAGATGTTTAAATGTATTGTTAAATGTGTGTAAATGTAACTTTTAAATGCTGTTTCGCTGCCTTTCTTAGACAGCTCAACTTTGAAAACGAGCTTATATCTTAACAGGCTTTCTCCTGGATAAAAAATAAAATAAACTAAATACGAATATCTTGAGCAGTGTTTGTAATTTACCTATTTCAAATATAATATCCCTGTTTTACCCATTTGTGATTCCGTCTACTGTCTGGTACTGCCTCCATGTAAACCTGTAAAACTTGTTGCACTGAAGGCTCTCCTCCAGTGACATCATCACTCCATTAAAATTGTTAAGCTACATCTAAGTAATGTAATCATGTAATCGACTTAGCCACATTTCCAGTCGTGCAGCACAACCCACGTCTGCCTCAAAACAGACACTGGTCATTTTGTCCCCGGCCTTCCTGGAAGTGCATGGTCCAGTCACAGAGAGCGACCTATTACTCCTTTTAATCCCGTCTTTATTTGTCTGCGGCACAGGGCAAAGCCGCACGCTCATTTACACATGTTTGTCCCAGGTGGGTTTTGAGCCAAACTGTCAGGATGTGAACTTGGCAGCCCCTCTCCGCGCCGCCCTGCTGTGAGGTCGGCACCTGCTGTTCTTGAGCACAGGAACAGGTATCAAATGTGCCTGACATTTGCTACGCATCGTTGATTGTGTCACTTTGGACAATAAAAATTCAGAAATCTATAATACATAAAATTTCCATGTGACTGCGACCCGAGTGCTGCTGAGAGTTTTAATTTTTTGCTTGCCCACTCTCCGCTCTTTCTCACTTTCGAACAAGAAGGTGCACCCACAACACACAACAAACTGCATCATGTAATGTCCTTAGCTGGTAATCCGCTGTGCATATAATTCTGGCATCAAGGTGTAAATTATGATCAAAAATAAGATATTGCTTCAGACTGAACATATTATAATGGGGGTTTGACTTTACAGCATTAGGATTTGACTACCCCCCCCACTTCCTCTTCCTAAAGAATCAGCTGGCCCAGAGGTAAAACAAGTGCTTTGGAGGGGAGGGAGGGGGGCTAAGAGCTAATCCAGTATTTCGGCTCTGACAGCAATGCCAAGCCAGGTGACTCTTGTCCAACAAAGCTTAGGAAAAAGGGGGTTAAGAGCTAAAGCACAGTTTGATAATGAGAGAGGAAGAGAAAGGGGTGATATAAAGGACGAGGAACTTCAATTAATTCCTTTAAAATATGTAGTGAAACCCTCACTTTTCATCCCAGTCCCTTGCGTTTACATCCATTTGTGTGCCAGACAGAAGGCAACAAGAAAAGCTGGCTGGTGAGCATACTGAGCTCAACCCAAGAGGGGGGAGGGAAAACAAGCGAGAAAGTGAGAGCCAAATATACAATAAAAAAGGGGGCAGTTGGTAAAACCTGCCAGATGGTGTGTGAGGCATAGCTAGGTGGGCATCCAATACCTGAGGGGGCGGTGGAACCGAGGGGGGCTGCTTTTCGCCTCCGCTTGACATCCCCTGTACATAGAGAGCCGAGGTGCCCGCTGGTCTGTCTGCAAAACCAGCCAAGCAAGACAAAATATGAGCATATTAGTTTTATCTCAAATAAAGCCACAGAAATTTATCTTATTCATTTGAAAAACACCATTCAACATTGTGAAACCAATGCAGCAGAAACAAAAACAGGTACTAAAGGAAATTAATGAGTTCTGGTCATAAATCACTGGTGTTTAAACTGTTGTTCTCACCTGCTGGCTGTTTTTACTGAACAGCTTCTCCGATGCCCTCTGTCTGACCGTGGGTCCCAATGCAACTGAAGTGGGCAGTGAGGGAAAGAAGAGGAAATACAAAAGTTGATGTTCAAGCAGTCAGCAAAGTAATCCTTGCAAAAACGCGATGCCAGTATGTTAGTATGATACACTAACCACAATGGTTCCTTGTAATAGACCAAAACCTAAACTTTGCATTTCAACCCATATTAAAAGGTATTAAAACAAAGTAAAGAAACCTGGCTCACCTGTCCATGTTCTCTCCTTGAGCCCGAGCTAAACCAAGGCCTGTTGGAGATATAATAGTGTCATAAGGGCCCTCAAATTCCCATCAAGGCAGTGGTCCAGAGACAAAAACCACAAATTCCTCATCATTTATTTCTGTAAGTGAATTGTTGGCCTTTGTCCACCACAGAAACCAAAAAACCTTTTTAGACTTTAGCTTGGGAACCTTACTTGCATTTGGACTGCAGGAACTCAATTAGAGTTTAATACTTTTAATTGATTAGCCTGCACTCAACCAAAAGCTGGGATATATGCGGAACCATTAATATGAAAATGATGAAATCCATATCTTACTACTAAATAGACTGAATGACTCACTGTCTGATCTTGCATGTCTGTATAGTGTCTGCTGTGATCCGTGTTCCAGGTTACTTTGCTTTCACACTGCTTGTTTACTAGACAATTCTAGATCTAAATTGATTTTAAATGAAAACGGTGGCTTGCATTTCTAAACCACTTTATTTGTAAAGCACCTTTCAAAATGCAACTTACAACAGTAAGAACGCAAAAACACAGAATAAATAGATAACAGAACAGTCAGAATTAATAGTAATTTTAATTTGGTTGGGGACTCACTCATGGGAGTCCTGGCTTTGTCTGCCCAGTCTGTCATTGAAGCCTTGGCTGGAGCTGCCCTGAAGCCCTGCCTCAGACGCCTGTTGGTTTACATGAAGACGACTCAGCCTGGCCTGGAACCCTAACAAACACAGTACGGGTTCAAAACTCAGGATGTTACTGAAATGATAAGATTCGTATGCCGCAGACGGTTCGTGGTGGATGAGAGGCAACTGAGCCCAGTATGTCCCACCATCAATCTCCCTGGGATACAACGCAGGGAGGGGTCCTCTGGGACATCAGCGAGTAAGAGAAAGGCTTGCTTAAAATCCTGCTTGATTATATTATGCCTACACAACAAGTTGATGGACTGTATGCAGTAACACTTTGTAGCCACACTGCTGAGCAGACAGTGCCTTCTACTGGTCGAGAGTGAGACTGCAATAACATTGTAAAATATGCGACTGAATTTCCATCGTCCCCCAACCACTATGATCATATTGTAAAATCTAAATATATTCGCTCCTATTGTATTACCTACATTTCATTCCAAAATTTGTTACAAGCCACCTTCAAAAGACATTTAATGCCAGTGTCTCTGAGTTTCTAAACAATGATACTGCTGCTGTCGTCAAGTATGTCGTCTATGTTTCCAGCCTACCTCTCTGTGCTCCAGGGCTCATGAGGGGGAAGGATCCAGTGAGGATGCTATTGAAGACCGGGTCAGCTAGGTCCAGCTCCTCTGACCCGGTCTCCCTCTCCCACCAGGGAACCACTCCTGCGATCCCACAAGCACCTCCAGGACCTGAACCAGAGCCCAGATCGCCGTCGTAGAACCAGTCACTCTGCTCGTCATCAGCTGGAAGAGAGGGAACAGAGGCAGAAAATGTGACCCCAGTTGAGCACTGCTACAGATGGATTCATCGTGTAATTTGTCCACCACAGAAACAAAAAAACCTTTTTAGACTTTAGCTTGGGAACCTTACTTGCATTTGGACTACAGGGACTCAATTACAGTTTAATACTTTTAACTGATTAGCCTGCACTCGACCAAAAGCTGTCATTTTCTATTGTAAACATTGTTAGCGACATACTGTTTTACATGACAGGAGTTATTTGGAAAATGGTGGTGTCCAGGATTGATAAAGGAAGCTCTACTATGGCCACACTGACAGATGAAAAGGTTAACGGTGTAATGATAAACCACGGTTAAATTTCCAATGGATAGCATTACTATTTCAAATGTTCTTATGATTAAAACTGTGTTCGGTCACCGCGCTTTGCAAATACTGTCCAGAACCAAAGCTAGCAACAATCTCCCAGGCGCAGCATACAATGTGGGTTTGTTTTGAGTCAATGACAACATGGAGGTAGAAGTGACAGCGCTCCAGAGATTTTTCAGCCTAGTTCTTCAGTCTACTCTGAAGTGTGGTCATATTTTGTTTTTTATAAGAGCGCTGAGGGAAATCGCTGCAAAATGGGGCAAATCTTATGAGTCATTTTCATGACCACCACCCAAATATAAGGTAATAATACAAGGTTAATTTTTAGCTCAGTGGAAGGTTTGTCGTCCAACTTGCTAATAGCTTGTAAACTGAAGCTCTCACACTACACGCTGTTCTGCTGCTGTAGTAGCGCAGTCTAATACTGTTGGCTACTGAGGAGTGCCGTGGCTGATGCGCTGTACTTCTGTTACCTTACTGTTTGATTCTTAAGAATCTCCAGGCTTTGTTGTGTTGCTGAATAGTAAGTTTATTTGTTTGAAATGTCAATTTGTCCAGTTTCATGACAAAACCATATACTGTACTACATATACATACAATAGACTGTCAAACAAAAGGTTCCCAGTTTCCCTGGCCAAAATGCGCGACAGCGGTCAAAAACCCTTACCCTTCCGGTCACCTACAACAGTTTGAATGCTACCTTTATAACATAAGAAACACTACCCAATGTCTGAATGCACAAAACACCCCATTTGGCTCGTACAGCTGCTGTATCTATTGTGTCTCTGCAGACTCTATTTGCCCATTGCACACAATACGTAGTTTTGTCACCCAACCAACATTGTTCATTTAATATCGGGCTGTCGTCATATTGGTTGTAAAAGTGTTTCAACAGGAGAACTACTGGAGGCTCCTGTATTTATGTCAATTTTAGGGCTAATTATATACAACTACTATCACTGTCTTCTTAAGACTAAATTTTAATTGCATATACTTTCTAACATCCTTACTGTTAATGCACACTCAATATTAGGGGAGTAACGGTACATGTAATCGTACCGGACCGTTTTGGTACAGGACTTTCAGAACGGTGCACATGTGCACCGAATGCGTTTAACGTCATATATTAGGCTTGTTTTGTGTGTGGGACATACGTAAATTCCAAGTTTCCACACGGACATATTAAGTGGCGGACCAAATCTCCGCCTTGTGGCTCTACAGCGCTACACAAGCTATACCGCTTTAGCCCAGCCGCTTACTAACTAGTGACTTCAGCATCATGGCCAGTGCAGAGAAGCCATTGCTTTAGGACCCTCCCTTATTGTTAAGGTTTTCTGTTTGGGAACACTTACACTTCCTAGTGAAATACAACAACGGACAAGTTGATAAGACGAAAGCAGTGGGCCAACATTTCTCAGTAGTGATCGGGTATGTTTTAGGGTTGGGCGATGTCTACAAAATTTCCATCGGACAATGTCTGCAATGAGACATTGGAATGGACGATGTCATCGGGTGCGCACGCACACGGGGGGCAGCAGTCGTCTTACGTGCATAAATGTGTTGTCGCACAAACTTCACTGAGTACAAAAAATTGGTAGACTATTAACTTACGTTACAAGTCGCGGTGGATATTTTACGCACGGAGCAGGTAAAGCAGCATTGAACACACAGGGTGCAGGTGTTGGTTTCAGTTGTTTGACAGGCTGCGTCATTAATAAGCCAACATGCGGCTCACCTGCTGCTGTGACAACGGATTGCGGGTGGAAATATATGGGAAAAAGACGAGTTCTCAGTCTATTAGGCGACTTTATAATTATTATTATATATTCCTTTAGTTCCACCAGTGTTTAGCTACTGTGTGTACACTGCTTTTGAGCATGAAGAATAATTCAAAACACATCTGAGTATGTACCTTGCCTCCCCTCGTCATTGGTGTAGAGGCCTCCGTCACTGCTGTTACTGACACTGCTGGTCTCGCTAGAAAGATAAATGAAAAAACTAATTAGAAAGCCCGCAAATAAATGGTCAACAAGAAGTCAATAATTGTCTATTAGAAGAAAAACTAGCTCTCTCCCACACACCGTGGGGTATTACTGAAGTTGTTTGATACTAGTGCCAGTGAGTGAGCTATCTGAGTTTTAGTATCAATACTAAAACCTTATAAATATACGCTTTTTTCCCAAATTAACCACAGAAGCCAAGGTTTTCGAATGTATGGCAAAGTTTCTATTTAAAAATCATGAACTTTTTGATCAAAGAATAAGTGAATAAGAACCTGACCAAAATCTTTACCAGCTTTTGGTAAATTATGAAAAAAAAGTGAGGTTTGATATCCAGCCCCACACAGAACAGAGTACTTACTTACATGTTGGCCAACTGTGTCACACACATACTTATAAAAACAGTATACATAGTATAGAGACAGAGGAGTTGCAACATCTGGAAACAGCAGGGCATAGAGAAAAAAAAAGTCAAAACACTAACCACCTGTCACTCATGTCCTCATCCGAGCCCTTCTGCTCCTCCAACTCCATCTTGTCCTTAGACCCTTCAGTTGGAGAAGAGATGGGGTCCTCACTCTCCACCACCACCCCTTCATCTGCAGCCTCCATTCCCAGCCTGTGGGGTGCCAGTTTCCTCTTCTTCACCCTGCACTTCCCTCCCCCTGGCCCTACCAGTCCACCCATACAGAGCTCCATGGCACCCCTGCCCTCACTTGCACCCATTCTATGCGGCCTGCCGCCAGCACGGGCTTTGGGGACAGGTGGGGGCCCTAGTATAGTGGAGGAGGGGGGTTCGGGTTCTACAGGTGGGTCTACAGCCATACGTTTGACCTTACGTCTCCGTCTAAGGCTGCGAGTTCCCTCGGCAGACCCCAGGACACCCAAGTCGTCTGGCCAAAGCGGCCGCTTGCTTCGTCCCATGTCAGCTGTTAAGGGGGTGCGCCGTTTGGGGCCAAGCTGTTCATCCGAGTCGCTGTTGTCACGGGCATGGCTGTTGGCAGCAGAGACACCCCCTGTACTGGCACGGTAGTCCTGCAACAAACATCAATGTGCTAAATACCAGACTGTGATTCTGACGCTAAATTAAGAAACTTCAACAAACCTGAGAATGCTCATTAGGCCAAAGTGATATTTGAGTGTGGCTGAATTTATGCAACACATAACACAACTGGATGGTAGAGAGGAAACTCCACATGCGTTATGCATTAAGGTCCCATATAAGACAACTGCCACTTAAACTGCAAAATAATCCGTACTAAGTGGGCAATTCCAACCTCATGTGGAGACCAGTAGATTACAGTTACCAAAGGATTAGATCTGATTAAGGTTTTACTACTCTTGCAACAGGTGTGAATATCTGTAAAGACGAAGGGAGCAAGTTATGAGTGTCGGGTTATAACACCCTTTATCAGTAATGACATCATTTTTTGCACCCCTTAAAAGAACAGGCTGAGCAAAACAACAGCACTTCTTGATGTCTTAAGACTTCCATAAGTATTTTTTGCTCAAGGACCTCTTAGCTGACACAAGGTTTTTGTTTCTACTAAAAAGGTGTGTTTGGTGAAGAGCTGTGTCTATAACAACCAAACGCCAACTCACCTTGTGTTCTTCCACACTGGACTCTGACCCCTCACTGAGGTGGCCTGTCTCCCAAGGCGGGTGTGGGTTGTCCGAGCGTCGTTTTCTACCCCTCCGTTTCCGAGCCTGCCTCTTCAGCAGACAGCCCACGGCCAGTGCATGGTCTCCTCCATCACCAAAACCGCCGCGCGCTGCTTGCTCAGAGCTCTCCTCCAGTGCTGACACCAGGTCATGGACAAGTTCGTCCATTGTCCGGCGAAAGTGCCTGAGGTGCAAAAAAAAAGGGGGATACGTTGAGGATGGGTAACTATGACCTGGATGAAAGAGAATCTTCATTTACAAATAAAGGCGATACTATTTCACACATTTTGTTACATGCCTGGACACTTAAAAACATTTAACAATGCAACATGTGTTGTATCGGAGCTGTCAACGGTGTGTGTGGGAAAGCTATGGGTGCTATTGGGAAACTTGGCATAATAGGCCGTAAGAAAGTCTGAGGATGTATGTAGGCATGATTTGTAACTTAGCTCGCCACTGGTAGAGGAAGCAACAGACAAACAGTTACCTAATCATTACAGACCTAAATAAATCCCTGCCTCGTAACATAACTATTAGCTTATCTATTTGTCTTTACCGATAAGATGGTTCAGAGTGGCTATGGGCAGCCATTAAACTCACATTAGCCCGATATTTATTCACATTTTACACATTATTCATCTCTTGTCGTCGAGTAAAGTTGAAAACAACAGGACCTTATGAGTTCGTTGAGCAATAACGTCAACTTACTTAATAAATCTGCCTGCGATGTCCCCTGAAATTAGCTTTAACTTAACGTTACTCTGTTTAAATGAGCTGTTTGGTTATTAGATTCGTGAGCTAGCGTAACGTTTTCTTGCTAGCTGGCTAAGTCAACTAACGTTAGCTAAGTTACAACAAACGTCCAACTAAGTTATCACTAAAGATACTTAACTAATGTTAAGAACCAAGGTTCGCAGTTTTAAATTGTAGATAACCCTAACCCCTAACCCCTAACCCTAAGTTTAACGACTGTCGCCGGAAAATAAACAACGAAACCCTTTGATATTCACATTAGCTTTGCTGCTAGAAAGTTAGCACAGTTAGCTTTAGCTCTCTAGCCGGCTGATTCACGAGAGTGGAGTGGACGTGAACAATATGTTACGTGTCATTGATTTGAAAGACCACCTACCAGCCGGTTCCCGCTTTGCCGATGGTTTTTAGATTAGCTGCACGGAACATTAAAGCCGCCAAATGCCAGATACCTTTAGCCAGAAACAGCGGACAAACATTTACACACCACAGACACCATTCTGACACAAAAGCTAACGATCAGCTAGCTGGATCAATATGCGACAAGAGGACAGGGGGCCGTGAACGAGGTATTATGCTGCCTTCAAGTGCTGTAGAATATTTTCTGCTTGCCTTGAGACAGGGGAGCACAACAACATAGCCAAATGGTTCATAATAAAAATTTTTAACACTATGTGCAACACTACTGTTCTTCAGTGTGTAATTTGTATTACTTTTATAGAAAATCAATGTCACGTTTTCATCCCTGTCCAAAAAAGGGAGTATGTGCATCTGTCCACAGACATGAAACCCATAGCAACCCTACCTAACAAACCTAAACGTAACTAAGCAGACTCCATCTTCTTATGAAGACTGTAGTAGAAGTTCTAGAAAAACTACAAAGACCTTGAGGTGGGTTTTTTGTTGTCAAATTATCAAACAAAATCTAACATGACCTTAATCAAACCATGTAAAATAATTGTAACCCAAATCAGTGAGCTAAATCTTGGCTAATTATGAGTGTAGACTAGAGGCAATTTTATTGTTCATTGATTTAAATAGACCATTGTTTTACATGGGGTATGTTGAAGTTCAAGGCTCAGCTTTATTGTCATTATCTAATACAGGACTGAATGAAATACAGTTGTAGCCCCCTTCACATTACACATATGTATAAACAAATATTTAATTTAGAATAGAATAACACAATACAATTGCACACTGTAGATAAAAGTAGGAATAAAAAGGAAAACTATATTATATTTAAAATGAAGATATACAGTGACGTATATAGATGGGTGACAAACTAAAGGAAAAACCAACATGAGCTGTCTTCATAAGGAGTCACGACCCTCCAGAACAGCTTCAGTGCTCCTTGTCAAGTCTGTGGAATTTTATTGGAGGGATGTACACCATTCTTCCACAAGATAGTCCCTCTTCTTTATTTATATATAAAACCTTTATTTAATCAGTTAATATAATTGAGAACAAGATCTCTTTTGCACGAGAGACCTGAGTCCAACAGATAAAAAAAAAAAAACATAGCCAGACTTAACAAAAGGACATACAGCATCAAAGACAGTCACAGACATCACCATAGATTTAAAGATTAATGTTTATATTATATAATTTGGTCTTGTGGAGATGGTAATGGAGAGCATTGTCTTACACACTGTTCTAAAATCTTCCATTGGCTTTCAACTGGGTTGATATCTGGTGAATGTAAAGGACGTAGCATTAATTGTATTCATGTCATTTGCATACTCACCAAACCTTTGAGTCAGCGATGCCTGGTGCACTGAAGCATCTGCATTTGATATGTTTCTCAACTATTTTATTTAGGTTTTTCCTTATAATTTGTCCCCCGTCTGCATATATCTATACACGCTTACACACAGAAAATATGTAGAAGGCATGACTAGCAGGTTGCATGTTGTTTCTAGAAATATTTAGTAATGATTTATTACCAAAGATACAAGTAGTGTAACAATTCTATACAACCGAAGCATGTATTGTAAGTCGGAGTTTAAATGCAGCGAGTGAAGGCAACTTTCAGGTCAATTCCAACACCGCGTGTATTTACCTGTTCTGACCTCTGGGGGGCAGTGTAGGCTTTTATTGGAAAGGCTTCCCATTCCAGGTGGATGTCATGGTTGCAAGCGGTCAGCTGGCCTATCAAATATGCACCAAAGGTCACCAGTTCAAACACATCAGTGGCAAAAGAGTCATATTAATTACAGTGGTCACTTTAAGAGTCACTGGGTACCAGAGAGACTTGGAGCTCACCCCATGCAACAGGTGCTCTGCTCTCATCTGAATGTCAGTGACGGCGCTACTACGGTCAACATGGGATCAATGGCAACAACAGGTGTCCCAGCCTCTGTGTTAACTAATGAGAAGTTTACACATTGAAGAAACTGTCAGGCACGCATTAGGAAGGGTGAGCTCTGTGCCAACGTAATTTGTCCTCTGAGCGGTGTGCAATCATGTTTGTGAGGAAGTCCACTTAGACCAACATTCTGACAGACAATCCTAACAGGTGTCCGTCCCCTCCTCAAATGCGTAAGTAGTCAGTGGATGATGAACACGCTAGGATCGTCTCAGGTTTCTAACCGGGGTGCCCAGAAAGATTTAGTAAGACACTGTTCCCTTGAACGCAGCAGTCAGACGCTTGCCATGCTCGCAGAGGGAAGACACAAGTTCTGGACTGGACCAGAGTTTTATACATTCACATCAGTTTAGATCTGCAGCTAGGATCAGACACATTATGGAATCATGATATCAGCAGAGGATGGTGAAGAGTTTGATGAGGCTGACACTACCTGGAGCTGGGTAAAGTGATTTGTAGATCATCTGCATGTGTGGAAGCATGAATTGTGAGTACATCTTGATGAACACAATCAGTGGATGTAAAAGTGAAAAGGGGTGAAGGACTATGTGTTTACATGCATCTCATTTACAGCATGGATGGAGAAAAAAGCATGCAGGTGAAATGTCATGTTTCTGGAGATATTTATGCACGCACATTATGTTATGTCATTCAAAATGGTATTCTGTTTTTATTAAATCAGAACATAAGTTAAGTATTAGAAACAGTGTTTTAAGGTGACAGGTCCTGTAGCAGGTTCTAAGGACAGCAGAGACAGTGAGACCAGGGGTGTGTGTTTCAGTAATCCCCCTCTGTAAGACGATCTGCTCCGGCTGAAACATGGGAGGGAGAAGAAGAAAAAAAGAGTGTGAAGGGGGGCATGAGTGGGGGCCAGGGGTAAAGCAGGGTGGAGGGATAGCCTGATCAATCGATCAAGTTTATTTGCCACATGTAATCATATAAGGTACAATCACAGTTAAATGTAGTGAGTGATCTTCCTACTCCCTCTGAGTTTAGGTTATTTGGTAAGAAGGGATTCTACTTTGGTGGAAGAAAACAACATGTGCCATGCAAAATGACAGCTTGCAACTCAGACTCATTTTGTGAGATAACACATACACAAATTCTCACGCAATCATGATTTTAAGGGGGATGACATTGGGCCTCTGCCTGATTGCAACCTATATTGGATATAATGAACATGGAAAGCTCTTAATTGTGCAACCTTTTGAAACTACCAAAACACCTTTAAAGATATTTGTGGATGCTTATATTTCTTTTCAATAAGACTGAAGAGAATGCAATGCAGTGCTGTGGCAGTATCAACGACTGGTAGTTGTTGGGTGGTTTGGGAGAGTGTTTGTGCAAAGAAGGTGATGTTTTCTCTCTCACACGTTCAAAATAACATCCTTAAAAAACACTTCACTATTTTTGGCATATACATGAATGTAGAATAAACAAAACGTTGCCCTTCTACAATTTGAGATGTAGTGCATAGGCAACTCATAGCTACACAGCCAAACAACCACAGTTATGACTGGCTGAACTGAGCGTGAGCCAAGACACTCCTCCCACCAGAGAGGGTGAATTTTTGATCCAGTGCTACATAAGGTCAACCTACAGGTACCAAATCAGGGCAGTAGTAATTTTGTGTGAATGCATTAAAAAGAAGATAAATGGGCTTCAGAAAAATTCAACTACTTAAAAACCTGGACGCTTTTGTCTTTATTCTGCTGTTACTGAGTGGATTAGCGACACTGTCATATGTCTGCTTGTCTGATACTGGTCATGACACTGACCACACATGTCAAAAATGAAATTGCTATTGTGATGTTTTTGTGTCCAGATCACATCGGCTGATTTAGCGCTTCATGGCAAAACAACATGTCTAAGGGCAGCTGACATAAAGACTGATGTGAGAACCACCTGCATATTTAGGGGTACCAGTATGGGCTGACCACTGCTAGTGATGAAATATAAAAGTATGTGGTCATGCCTAGACATTTAATGTCACAAAGGATGTAAAGGAAAGTACGGTCATTGTATCTTTCACATTTATAAGTTGTTTAGTACAATGCGACGAATGTGATGTAAAAAAGGAAATGTTGAGATGCTCATAGTACATTCAGGGTGTGACAAAAGTGTACACAACACTAGCAGTGGCTGCGATGAATGAAAGTGATCTTTAGCTAAACAGGAGAGAAGAGCACCTTTATAAATAGTTATTTAATTGGAGTAGTGGAAATGAGGAAAAACATGCTCAGTTTGTGGGAGAAATGCCAAGACCACACTTCATATTTCACAGGACAAAAGTGGAAATCACATGATAGGACATTTCACGTAACATATTATGCAGTAAAAGGAATAACAATTCCACCAATCCATCCATTCATAAAACTGCTTAATATCAGCTGGGGTTGCAGGTTGGTGCAGAGTCAGCAGTTTGACAAAGTCAACAAAGTTGAAGTGACACTAAACACACTGAACCTACAAGGTTGTAAACCACAAAACACACACTCAGCCGGAGCAAAACAAGATGAGACAGCAGCTGTGACACTGAACAGTGTGACATGGTGACACACATTGCTTGCTACTTAAAAAAAATTATCAGATTGTTCAAAAGTGTGAGTGGAACATGTGTTTTTTACTTAATTGCATTGGTTTTATCTCTTAATTTCAGTCACTTAATTTACAATAGCCTCACCTCCCATCACAGTGTGAACATCACACCAGTGTCCACGTTTCATGAAGAGAGTGATATTTTACTGTGAAAATGTTGGCTGTGTTCCCACCACACAGAAGCGCGAGCACTCACACACACACACACACACACACACACACACACACACACACACACACACAGCTTTGTACCAATAGCTTTGGCAATAATGTAACTTTAACATTCACATCAATAAAGCTTGTCTGAATTTTATAGTACTTTGAGAGCACAAGTAGCCTAAGGGAAATATGGGTCTACATTAGCCTTACACGACAGACATAAATCGCCACCACCAATCAACCACATCCTCCCTGACACACAGTCACCCTACAGGGTCTCAGGTTAAACTGCTACCATCGCATGTGCTACCATGCAGGGCTGTGATTGGCCAGAGAGATCACCTCACTGCATACGGTGACTTCAAACTCTGACGTAGTCCCACATTTCCCGCCGTCATAGCTGCGGTGCTCTTTAAACTGAGACACTGTACCGTG